ATACATTGGCGAAACTAAAAAGAAGGTGATATCGAGATGTATTGAACACCAAAAAAACAGAAATATGTTAGAGAGATATGTTATAAGAAAATGGTTCAATTTCGGGTGCAACTGAACATTCTAAAACATGCCATGGTAAGTTTGATTACCATGGCATGTTTTGCCATGGTAAATCAAGCTTACCATGGCATGTTTTAGAATGTTCAGTTCTAAACAAAACATTATCTGTAGCCCCAGAATATCGAACTCGGAAAATCAGAGAGTCCTATTATTATTATTATTATTATTATTGCTATTATTATTAATAATAATAATATTGTTATTATTATTATTATTATTATTGCTATTGTTATTATTGTTATTATTATTGTTGTTGTTATTATAATTACTAATATAATCATTATTATTGTCATTATTATATTTAATAGTATTATTGATATTACTATAATCGTCTTCATTTAATTTACATTATTATTATTATATGATTGCTATTATTATTAAATTGATGTTTACCTTAGATTAGTACTTGTAAACAACCATGGAATGTAAACTTTTATTTCAGAATATATATTGTTATTGTTATTGTTGTTGTTTTATATATATATATATATATATATATATATATATATATATATATATATATATATATATATATATATATATATATATATATATATATATATATATATACATATATATATATATATATAATATATATATATATATATATATATATATATATATATATATATATATATATATATATATATATATATATATATATATATATATGTATATATTAAAAATATAAAAATGTCAATTAATACGAGTTCTCTCAATACTATTGTAAATTTATTTGAAATTTTCGCTGGGTTATCGTTACCAGCATCATCAGCTACATTATCTTAATTCAAAATTAAAATTATGACCGTTATAATAAATTACAAAAATTAAACTTAGCGTCAAAGATGCCGTTCTAACGCTGACTAAAGTCAGCGTTAGAACGGCATCTTTGACGCTAAGTTAGAAATTAATTTACATTATTATTATTATATGATTGCTATTATTATTAAATTGATGTTTACCTTAGATTAGTACTTGTAAACAACCATGGAATGTAAACTTTTATTTCAGAATATATATTGTTATTGTTATTGTTGTTGTTTTATATATATATATATATATATATATATATATATATATATATATATATATATATATATATATATATATATATATATATATATATATATATATATATATATATATATATATATATATATATATGTATATATGTATATATATATTAAAAATATAAAAACGTCAATTAATACGAGTTCTCTCAATACTATTGTAAATTTATTTGAAATTTTCGCTGGGTTATCGTTACCAGCATCATCAGCTACATTATCTTAATTCAAAATTAAAATTATGACCGTTATAATAAATTACAAAAATTAAACTTAGCGTCAAAGATGCCGTTCTAACGCTGACTAAAGTCAGCGTTAGAACGGCATCTTTGACGCATAAATGCATCTTTTATGCGTCAAAGATGCATAATCTTAAGATTATGCATCTTATGCATTTATGCGTCAAAGATGCATAATCTTAATTATGCATTTGTGCGTCAAAGATGCATAATCATTATGCATTTATGCGTCAAAGATGCATAATCTTAAGATTATGCATCTTTGACGCATAAATGGAAAAAATGGAGTCCAAATTTTAGTGTCAACGTATTGTAAATTAAATTAAATAGCCTTTGTCCTACAGGGCAATCAATAACTATAGGTAAACATAGGTAAAAAGTTCAAAATTCTTAACAAACACAATGTTAACTTATGTAAAGCTACAATTAAGCAGTCTAAAAAAAATTTATTTTTTGGCTTGTTGCACTCTCGTCAATGGAGGGTTTTTAAACATCAGGATTTTTAATTGAAATAATAAAAAAAAAAAGATAGCTGCCCCATACCAAACCCTTATTCGATGTAACAGTACTTTCTTGTAGCAGCAGGCTATAAGATAATCGATGTAGCATCATTCCTTTGTAGCAACAGGCTATAAGATTGTTAATGTATGTACTAAAGCCAATACATATTCTTTATGTTTATGATAAAAAAAGTCCTTAATTTGAGCAAGTATCATCTGCACAAAATTGCAACAAGCAAGGAAATAAAAATATTTTAAACCGCTTAACTGTTGCTTTGCCTAATTTAATCTTCAGAAAAGGATTTCTAAAAGTTAAGTATTATTGTGGGGCAAAAAAAGTTGCTATCCAGTTTTAGGAAATAAATGAGCTCTTATTTCATTAAAAATGTTACCAGCCACTGAGAATAGTCTCATTCTTAATGTTTCTTAACTTTTAAATAGTTAAAAAAAATAGGATGCTTAATACAGTAAATATTTCAATTTTAACCTAAATGTAAAAATACAAAACAAAGAAATAATTTTAAATATAAATATTATGCTGGTTTAAACATTCAATAAATAAAACTATAAGCAACTAATAAAAACAACATATTAGATTTAAATGAAACAAGAATCTAATTAATGAAATAAGTTTACTTCGAGAATTATTAAGACATTATTCTCGTTCCGGATGGATTTTTTTTTTTTTTTAATTTTTTAACACCGGCAAATCCAGTTTTGACCGGAATGGAAAATTTCCAATCCGGTACACTCCTACTAAATACTTCTTTTGTAGGCCACATATTAAATACCTTACACATGAATGAAATCCGCAATACAAAAAGGAAAGAAGGAAGTTAAATAATTTCACAATAGAGAATCAAAACTACAATGGGTTAAAAAAACACTAGGCTAAAAATAAATTCGATCAAAGATACAGTTGATAAATAGTTAGATAGACTTTATAATTCTCTCAGTAGGTTGAAAAAATAGTAGCTCATATTTATACTTATGTTTTTGAGTTATTTATAACGATTTATAGTTCTATCTAAATATATAATGTTAAAGTATAACGATTGTAATAAAGTTGTAGATATATAAAAAGTAAGGTTATCCAAACAAACCTTAATCCGTCGATATAGAGATCTAGAGAATTTTTTCTTTTTTTAGAAATGCCAATTTAGTATGACATAATGACATAATTTAGTATGACATAATGCTTTAGAAACCATTACATCTGACTTTTAACGACAACAGTCAATTGAAAAAAAGTTTCTTGGAAATAAAGACGATTAGTTCAGAATTAATAAATATGATGATTATACAACCAATATAAATTTGTGTTGGTCAAAAAGGATGGTACTAGCAGACGAACAAAATATGGTCAAAAAAGGTTGTACTTAAATATATAGAGAGGAGAATTGCCGAAATTGGAGCAGCTTCTTAATTGGAAGACTTGGATTTATCCTTGATAAAAATAAATTATAATTATAAATTGAATGATAAAGGCTAATAAAATAATAAAATGATAAAATGAATTATAAAGGCTATAATTTGCCTTTTTTTTTTTTAAACGCATTATTTTCTAGGTGTATAGCATGCATACATTTTCTTTGTTATATTTCTTTAAGTGATTTTTTTTAATACGAGAAAGTCCAAATCCATTGCATGTATTAAATAAATTTTAATACAATTAATCTGATTTTTATTTTATTTTGCTTCATTTTTATGCTGTATAAAACTTATTTTCATATTTACAGTTAAATTTTCATTTTTCGCTTGCACTTTGTTGGACAAAGACAAGGTTGAACACTCACCACATTAGGAACATGCTAAGTGATTAAATATGTCAGACAACATAGATCTATTATCTTATATCAAGGGATTTTTATTTTTGTAACTAGCTGTAGGACTGGCTTAATCTACTTTGCCGATAGAGATGTAGAAAATAAATCAAATCCAGATTTGTTTTTTACAGAGTTATTATTTACAGTAGTAGCATTTGAATTATTACAGCAGAATTATCATTCAACTCTAATTTGGTATTAACTTTATCATTATCTCTTCCCTAAAAAACCTTGTTTTCTGAGATTTCACTCTACCTGTTTTCAAGATTTCACTCATTTATTATTTTTAGGAAAATTGTCTATTTTAATAGCTTCAGGAAATTGTCCAATTTTCTTTTGGATGATTTAAAATAAGATTTTTAATCCTTGATAGACGGAGCTCAAAAAAGTTATTTTTAACGTTTTTATTAGTATAGAAATGACTTTTCAAATCTGCGTTTTATTAAAAAGTCAAAATCTTACTTTGAACCACCCAAAAAGAAACTAATCCACAATAATGAAAAATTATATTCTCACTTGGTAAATCAGATCTTTATGGCTCGTTAAATAAGTAAAGAAGCTCCAAGAGTTTTAATGTAGCTATTTGAATATTCATATTGTTTCTTTGGATTTTAAACCGTTGCTATGGACGTTACTAGGGTTAAAAATTTGAGTTACCTTTAGAAATCAGTAATAAAAATTAATTATTCTTAAAAAATTAACTAACTAATTTTGCCTAAATTAAAATGCATAAATAAGTAAATTTTTTGTTTCATTTTTGAGTAATTTTAGAAAAGGTTTCTCCTTAAAATTACCAGAAAATCTTATTAAAGAAATTCTTACGAGAGAATCATATTGAAAAAAAGGTTTTTGTATTACCATTATACCTAATAATTCAACACTTTTTAATAGAGTTTAACATGTTCCAAATCCATTATAAAAATATTCAACAATACAAGATAATAGATCAAGTATGTTGAAAGCGATAGAAATTTTGCAGTTTGTTTTACTTCTTAGATATCCTGTTCTAAACTCATTTTTAAAAAAGAACTGGTTTTAGCTTCTTCACTGGACACAATAGAAGTTATAGCCATTTTTTATTTATCTATTATGATTATTTTTTAATATTATTATTACTTACTTTAGTGTCTATATAAGTATTTACAAATGTCTTTTAAAGCATTTTATTTCTAATATCAAAGAATTTTTTCGTTTATTTATTCAATAAAAAGCAATAGCTTTGAAGTATTTGCAGTTTTTAGTACT